TGAGTAAAATATTGTGAAACACTTAGGTCACCTTGTTTACAGTTCTGAATTTCCTCTTGTAGATCAGCTATGCGGAACTTGTTACCGTGAGAGAATCGTTCGCTTAGGTCACGCCAGATCTCCAAGGCTGAATCCATCCACATGACTGATTGACGAACTGAAGGAGTCATAGAACGGCTGAGCCATGACATGACCATTTTGTTGCATCTGCGCCATGCTTCGAAGAGAGGATCTGAAGTCGCAGGACATGGCAGAGTGTTGAGGACGAATTTGTCTTTGTTCTTCGTTTCCAAAGCTACAAGCATATCGTGCTTCCACTGGGGGGAATTATTTTCTGCGAGGAGAGGTGTGACGAGAATCAAAGCTGGACTCTCGCCGGGATGTAAGAATAGCGGATTCGCCGGATTAACCAGATGATCTGGAAGCGCCATGGTTATCGGAAGAAGATGACGATAATTGAGATAATGCTCTGATACCATGTTAGTTTGTTAGAGTAGTTGGAAAGATTGACGGGGAAGTAAACTGTAAGATTTCATTATTCAACCCCTTGACTATTACAGAGTGTATTACATCCTTTATATAGAAGTAAAAACGAACTGAAAATGGTTATTCTAACTAACTGATATAAACGAAAAATATTCGTATGTATATCTATCTATTATATCTAATAGTTTTAGCCAAATAATATTGCCAAAAGGCTTGACTGATATCTAGTTGAGGTAATGTACGTTATAGTCGGAAATAATTATATTATGTGAAAATATGCATATGTAAGGTGATGATGATGATGATGATGATGATGATGATGATGATAACAGTAAATAGTAAGGTAAGTGCATTGATCAATAACGCCACATGTTCACGCCTTTGTTGAGGTCAATTTCTTCAACTCAATTCAAATCCTTTGGGTTGTTTTAGCTTGGTTATTTTTAATGAAATGCAGTTAAGGGAGAAGAATTATTTGTTATAGGATTGACATTGTAATACACTCTCACCTCTTATCTACTCGATAACACTTATGTAAATCTCACTCATTAGCTCCATTCCTATAATGAAGAGGGAAAATAAATGTTCTCGCCCAATGCTAATCAACCCCTTAAATATAATAAAAGGGTGGCATTTATAATCCTAGGAAGGATATAGACGGTTGGCATGACCATTTTCTCATTGACTGGTTGTACTTCACATTCAAAATTTTCACCCAATCTATGCATTATTGATTCTTAGTGCCATCTCTCGCCAAAAGGGTGTGTTGGTCAAGGGAAGGGCCCTGCTCGGTGTAGAAGTGGTAACCATGCGAACATGATGTACATTCCTCGTTTTTTGTCATGTTCGTACCATACACCATTTCAAACTCTTAAAGCCGAAAACTGAAAAGCATTTTTTTCAATATTTTGCAAACACACCCTAACCAGTTAAGGGGAAGGAAGTTTGGGCTCCCTCCTACCACGCCTTTGAATTCCCTTCAACTTAACAGTCCATTCAGGTTGGTATAATAAAGAGAGATTTATCCAAATAAGACTAAAACAAGGTTCAATTGCAAAAATAGGACTGGTATGTTTTATTTGACAAAAATAGGACTAAAAAGTGGTAATTTGACAAAACTACCCTTAATGAAATAAATAAAAAAAGTGTCGCTGCCCATCTCCGGTGATTTCTTGCAGCAAGGCCTCCAGACCACCGACACCAATAATACGCTCGCGCCAATCGTCGTCGCCAATACCACCACAGCTGCCACTTCCCAACGAAGCTCTGTCGCTGCCACTGGCGAGACTGCCGTTGCACACAGTCGGTGAGAAAGCACACATCATGCTAGATGGCTTACTCCAGCTCTAGTGAGATAGTGATCGACATCATCCATCACCGTTAAGTTATCCCCTAGAGGTGTTGACATCTTCCCGTTGCGGCTCCCTCCTCTGGAGAGTATATCAATTTCAGGTGAAATTGCCATCATCATAACATCAAAGACCAAAAACATGACATTTTTAGATGCAAAAAACATGTCATTTTTGAGATTACAACAAGACATTTTCAGATTAAAAATTTATGACATTCTCATATTGACATTTTTAAGGATTACAACATGACGTTTTTAGATGCAAAAACATGTCAGTTTTGAGATTACATCATGACATTTTTAGATGCAAAAACATGTCAGTTTTGAGATTTCAACATGACATTTTAGATGCAAAAACATGTCATTTTTTATATTACAACATGACATTTTTAGATGCAATAACATGTCATTTTTTATATTACAACTTAACATGACATTCTCAATATCTCATCATTTGTTAAAAATGTCAAAAACATGGAACTTTCAAACATATAATATTGTCATCTCCAACAAATTGCCATCATGTCTAAAAAATTGATGGATGAACAATCTATCACTGCCAATTATTGCGAATAGTTGATAGAGCCTCAAACTTCATATCCAAAAGTTTCAAATCCAAAATTTTTAAATTAAAAAATATTTTCACTTTGAATCTAAAAAATCAACAAAAACATCACCAAAAAATTAATCTAAAATGCAAGAGGAGCATAGAACAGAAGAGAAGGAGAAGAGGGAGAAAGATGAGAAGGAAAGAAGATAGAATAAGAAGAAGAATTACTTACCAGGAGATATTTCGACCTGAGCAGTGGAGAGTGGAAGCTGCCGACATGGGAGAGATGCGGAAGAGATTTGGAGCGATCGATTCTGGGGCGATCGATGCGGAAGAGGAGGCAGAGGAGATTGGAAGACAGAAACATTTATTTAGGGATTTGATATATCAGGGGTAGAATGGTAACATGAAGTCTTATTTAGGAAATTTAAAACATTAAGTCCTAAGTTGGAATATTCACTATGTTTTAGTCCTAATTAGATCAATTTTTTTATAATAAATGTTACTAACTTACTATATATGAGTTCCATTCAAGAGAATGGTACTTAATTAGCAATGTTATTTATATAACTATTCAAAAATGATCTTTGTACCCACTCTTATACCCACTTTTGTACACACCTATGTTTGTGAAGTGTTTTTTGTCTGTGAACCCCATCTCACAGACAATATTTTATTTTGCACAGACAAAATATTGTCTGTGAACCCGGGTTCACAGACAAAAAAAAACCTCCACAAACATGGTGAGTATAAGGTGGGTATAAAAGTGGGTACATAAAGCATTGTTGTTTATATAAATGACATCAAGAGATTAGGCTAGCAACCTGTTCAGGGTGTTATTAACCGTTGGATTTAATTTATTTTTTCTCATCGTCTCCAACGCATTTTTATAAAATGGTTTGGGGAGTCAATCACATGCACTCACTCAACTTGTGGTATACTTAGAAAAGTGAAAACGACCATGCCTTCTAGGCCCCTCATGTGATGAGCAGGACCGTCTAATGAATTTGGATGCCCCGGTTCAAAATAGTAAATTGAGGCCCCCTAAGGACCTAAGACGAGAAAATAACACAAATTTTTACAATGAAATACAAATAGACTAGACACTCCAACGAAATATAAGTTTTATGATGTTTAAAGTCCACAAATTAGAGAATCTAAAAGTTATACTACCTTTGTCCCTTAAAATTTTGCCAAGTAAAAACTGTGTGGTTGAGGTTTGTGCAGAGGAGATAGAAACAACAGGAACTTCAAAATATTGATTAAAAGGGAAAGTGACAAAGTTTTTTGGGACGTCCCAAAAAAGGAAAGATGACAAAGTTTTAAGGGACGGAAAGAGTATGTATTTTGGAATCCTTAATAATATAAAAAATCTAGAAAAATTAATCTATAACTAATACTACGTATATTCCCTCCGCCCTCCTAAGTTTGTCTCGTTTTACCTTTTTCGTTGGTCCCATTAAGTTTGTCACATACCATATTTGGTAATATTTGAATGGTTACAATTCATTCTTACTTTATTCATAGTTTATCAATTCAATATTAACCACACACAATTCCATTTTTTCTCATATGGTACTCTCTTGTCCCAAACATAGTTGGACGAAGGTACATTCTAAATTTTTGGAGGCCCTCTACAAGAGTAGGCCCCGGTGCGAATCACCTATTGCATCTCATAAAAGATGGTTCTGGTGATGAGCATAGTTTAACAACCATGTCATATTCCCACAATAGTTTGTACTGTGCAAAATAAGCATCTACTAATGCATGCACTTCAAATGGCAATCATTCGTATATTGTAAATGAATTACTTGAAACATGTTTATTAGATTGAGCATTCTTTTTACTAAAAAGATGCTTTACCGAATCCTGGCTTATTTAATAGTGCTCAAATCACCAAAGTGAACAACACATTTACCGCAGTTCGTATACCGTGGGATCATCCCACGGTGAGCACCGTGCTCCACATCCAAAAAGACGTCGTTTTAATCAATTTAAAAAAAATCGCGTGAACAGTACACGCGTGTACGGTACTTCATTTTTATTTTTTTCTTATTCCATTAACAGAATGATGTAACTCACGTGTAAAGAAATGTAATTCACATCGTTGATGAATGTAACTCAAATCTAGTTGAAGTGTAACTTGTCCAACACATAAATAGTGTATATGTTTTTTTTAATATCAGCTCTATAAAAACGATTTTTTTATAAAATAATTTTTATTTGAATAGCATGGGCTTATTGTGTTATATAACTCGCATTATCATGTGGTGTAACACGCGTTTTGGAAAATGTAAATCAAATGTAAACATGATGTAACTTGTTAAGAAAAGTTGATATGTAACTCACGGTATAAAATATGTAACTTTTATCAAATTGATATGTAACTTGAATGTATCCAAAATGTAACTTTGGAAATTTCAAAAATGTAAGTTGCGTTAATTAAAATGTAACTTCAGGAAAATAAAACATGTAAATCATGTTAACTGCAATGTAATTGATGTTGATACAAATGTAAACTGCACTTATGGAAATGTAACTTATTCACCAAGATGATGAAGAATTTATACGAAAACAAAGAAGCAAAGAAATTAATAAAAAGGAAAACAAACAGACAAGAATCTAAATTCATTGAAATTCAAATACATCAAGAATATACATCAAGAATCTAAAATAAATTATTTGATGGAAATCTAGGAGACCATCTCCACAGGAGATGAAATTCATTCACGCTTTGGAGCCAGGAGCCTTTATAGAAACAAATCTAGGAGACCAGCTAAGGAGATGTGATATGATTCACCATGGACGGCCATCTGCGATGAAGACAAGAACTAACGGGCTATGAGTGAATCATGTAGTCAATTTTTGAGTTTATATTCATAATAGGGAGTATAATTAAAGTACAACAAAACCGGCATGATTGATGTTCAATAATTTATGCTGAACTTCCACGCACATATAGAGTCCATATTCGGAAGGGATGCGATCATCTACATGCTCGTTGAAACTTGTTTTTGACTTGAGGAACCGGAGGCCTTGATCGTTGCCTGAAAGTTCGAGTCTTTGCACTGTGATCTCGACTGCGAAGCAATCTGGGGCACTAGCAATCCTCCGTCCAAAGTCCCCATCACTGGCTCCCAATTTACGTTTCCTTCCTCTCCCGGCGAAGAAGCACTCCCGAAGCTTTATAGTTTCGTTAGCCAAGCCACTCCACGTTTCTTCTGTCGTGTAAATAAAAGAGCAATTAAGAGGGCAGCGGAGGTTTTGTAACTTGTTTTAACACAAAAAGGTACCGTTTGGGGATTGGTACACCTTGAGGATGGTGCACCGATCCCACGGTATAATTTGCCCATTTACCGTCATTCTAAAATTAGTTTTACAATTATTCTACTCGTTCATAAAAACCAGTCATTACAATTAATCAAACTCACTTCTTTCAACCAAATGATTATGAGGTAATTCCCTAAATGGGACTAAATCAATGTTAAAATGCACAAATAAGACTCTCATAATCTATAGGACAAAAAATGAACGGATTAGACACAATTGCCCTTGATAAATTAAGGATCAAATAAAAAAAATAAAACCCAGCTGTCCAGACACAATTCCCCATATGTCTCGTTCATCGATGCTGCCTATAGAGTTAAACTCGAAACCGTCGGTCACCTTCAGCACCTTCAGTGCACGCCCAACACGGCCGCCGTTGTTGATACCACCACCGCAGGCACCGTCGAAATTGCCGCTGCACAATTCCAGTGAGGTGACTTACCCCGTCATCCAGCGAGAATGGTGTCACCGCTAAATCCTTTGTGGACATGCTGCCATCTTCTTAATTACAGCTACCCTGTGGAGTGTATAATTTCAATTTCAGGCAAAATTACAATTACGATAACAATAATGACAAAAAATTGGCATTTCTTTATGCAAAAATATGGAATTTTCAGATTACAAATTATGGCATTTTCACATTTTGGAGTTGAAAATGTGAAATAGGAGAAGAAAAATGAAGTTGTGCTGCTGATGAATTGAATTCAATGCCATAAAAATGCCATAATTTGTGAAAATTCCAAAAATCTGGCATTTTCGAACTTGTAAAATTTCCATCTGCATAAACAAATGCCATAAATGTGGCAATTTTTACAAATTGATAAAGATACACAATCGTAAATTTTAGATCTAAAATTTTTTGAACTGAGAGCCACAACTTTTAATTCCCAAAGGTTTCAAATTCCAAATATCCATTCAGAATCTAAAAAAAATTCGAATAAAAAAGGAGCAGAAAATAGAGGAGAAGGAAGAAGATGATTAAGAACAAAGGAGAAGGTAGAAGAAGGAAGAGAAGGAGAAGGGGGAGAAATTACCTAGAGACCGCTGGCCAGAGTAAGGTGTGCGGAAGAAGATCGGAGAGCGGGAGAGGAGCTGCCTACAATCGATGCGGAATAGAAGATGACGATGTCGATCGAATTGAGGTGTTGGGCTGAGATTTTATTATACCGATATCGAGTAGCAGGGGCATAGTAGGAATAAAAAGTCCTATTTAGGTAAAATAAAGGATCAATTCCCATACAGGAGTTTTGATGATAATTCGGTCCTATCTAGAGGTAAAAACTCAATGATTATTGCATTTTACATTTTCACTAAATTCATTTATTATTTAGTCGTTTTAGCCAAATAATATTGCCAAAATCTAGGCTTGAGAGACACCTAGTTGAGGTGATGTCCGTAATAGCCAATAATGATTATTATATTATGTGGAAATGTGCACATGTAAGACGATGATGATAGGAGTAAATAGTAAGCTAAGAGCATCTCCAATGGTTAGCTAAACATGTTGTAGCTTTGCTTGTTACATCATTTTTTCTAGTTAATCCATTTTGAAGCAATCTGATAATCCAGTGGTTAGCCACAAGGCCCACAATGCTTGTCTCTTGAATAGGCCCCACAAATTAATCAATTTTAAAAATACACATTTTGAGTGAATTGATTTATTAATATAATAAAAAATATTATTCAACTATGACTTTGACCAAACATTAATCCAACGCCCAACACGGATGAAAATGCATATTATTAAAATCAGAAAAATAAAATGTAATTGTTAAGTAAAAAAATAAGGATATGCGGATTATAATATCCACGATGATCATGCATTCCTTTATTTAATTTGGTGGAAATGAAAAATTTGTATCATAACGATGTCGATGATATTGATTGGCATCTCTTCTTGGATGAAAATTTTGGAAAATTGGCTGGACTGTAGGAATTATTGGGGTTGATATATGTGAGGTGAAATTTTGAGAGTTCAAAATTTTCGATGCTTAAAGAGTTTTTCAGAATGGAGTAATACTTGTTGTATAGGTTTTCATAGTCCTCCATTTGAAGAGTACACTAAATTTTTACGTATGAAAAAATAAGAGTAGTGGGGTAGTAGGATAAAATATTGTTAAACTAACTTTTAAAACCATTCGGTATATATAATTAAGAGGAAGAGATTGAAATCACTTTTAATTTGGAACTTGATCGTTGTATTAAGATGTTTTTACTTGGACTGTAATTTGTCCCAGACCAGATCAGACCAGTCCAGATCAGACCAGACCAGACCAGACCAGACTTGGATAGTTATAAAAATACAAAGAAACCAGACCTTACCAGACCAGACCAGACCAGACCAGACCAGTTCAGACCAGACCAGACCAGCAAATTACAGTCCAAGTAAAAACATCCTTACTCACTTTACTGTTGCATAATTAATTAATATAATATATCAATTACAAATAAATTAAATATATTTCATACTTACTATTTTCATCCAAGTTTCTCTCCTTTCTAGCAATTAGCTTATTTTGGCTAATTTGCTTGTCCAAGCTAGAAACAAAGATGCACTCCAATGGTGGGCTAATAGCTTCAAAATTGCAAGCAAGTCCCTAGAAGCAACCATTGGAGATGCTCTAAGTGCATTGATCAATTACGTCCGTGTGGAGGTCTATCCCTTCCACCCGATACAAATTATTTGGGGTGTTTTTGTTTGGTTATTTTTAATGAAATGTAGTTAAGGGAGAAAAGTCCTCTTGTATTAGGCTTGACAATGACAATACACTCTGATATCTTATCTACTCGATTACACTTATGTAAATCTCACTCACTATCTCCATTTCTATAATGAAGAGGGAGAGTAAGTGTGTTCACCCAATGCTAGTCAACCTCTTAAATATAGTAAAATGGTGACATTTATAATCTTCATTATAGTATAATGAAGAGGGAATAAGTGTGCTCACCCAATGCTAGTCAACCCCTTAAATATAGTAAAATGGTGACATTTATAATCTTAGAAAGGATATAGACGGTTGGTATGACTATTTTCTCATTGGGTGGTTGTACTTCACATCCAAAATCTTCACCCAATCTACGCATTGTAGATTCTTCATGCCATCTCTCGTCAAAGGGTGTGATGGTCAAGGGAAGGGCCCTGCTCGGTGTAGAAGTGGTAATCATGAGAACATAACGTACATTGCTCGATCTTGGTCATGCACTCATGTTCGTACCATGCATCATGCCGATCGGGGGCTCGATCACACTTGCATTTAGGGGTGTGCACGGGTCGGGTTCGGGCGGGTCGGGTTTGCGAACCCTAAACCCGTTCGGGTTTTTTAATTTAAATATTAGGCCCGACCCTTTAATATTTCAAATCGGGTATTTCGGATATTTTTAAGTCGGATATTATCGGATATCGGGTCGGGTTTCGGATATTTCGGTTATATTAAAAAAAATTATAATTGGATAATTAAAGTGTTTAAATGCCACTTTGACAAAAATTGTACACACTAGTGCACTAAACTTCCAAATTACACAAATAATTTAACACAAATTGCACAAATAATTACACAAATAATTGAACAAAAGTAATAATTTAACATATTCAAAGTACACACTACATAATTTAATATATTTTGGATATTTTGGTTATATCAAAACACATTATAATTGGATAGTTAAAGTGTTGGAATGCCACTTTAACAAAACTTGTACACAATAGTTCACTTCATATTCAATTTACACAAATAATTTAATACAAATTGCACAAATAATTACATAAATAATTGAACACAAGTATTAATTTAAATATTCAAAGTACACACTAAACATATATTTCGGATATTCGGGCGGGTCGGGTTAGGATTTCACAAACCCTACCCGCCACCCGGTCTAGGCCCAATACTAATCGGATTTTCGGTTTCGGGTTTTTTGGGTCGGATATCCACTTCGGTTCGGATAATATCCGAAAAAAATATCGGGGTTTTCGGGTCGGATCGGGTTTTGCTCAGCCCTACTTGCATTTGCCCATGTTGAGCATTTCCGGGGTGATTAGTATACTCAATGAACAGTGTGAGAGTTAGCTTCATGCCGAGAATCTGATGATATTTGATCAATCATGGCAGTAGTGTTTGGGCTATTCAAATTTATTTTTTCCAAGGGACGAAATTGGAATTACATGGTTTGAACAAAAATACAGAGTCAATTAAAGGAGAAGTGTTTCATTTATTTGTACCCATTGACGACGAAATTGGAATTACATGGTAGTCTTTAAAATTCAAAAGCTACCACCTACCCATTGACGACGTAGCAAAGCTAACAAAGCGCGTAGGACCCCAAAAACTTACCTAAACTAACTCAATCCCCACTCCCTTTATTACCATTTACTGCGCACAATCCATCCCAGCTTTCTGTTCACCAAACCCCCACAACTAGAGTAAAGACTACAATCTCTTCCTCCTTCCCCTCCTCTGTATGCTCTGGCAGAAAAAGAAAGAATCTTCAACCGATCCATGGCAGAGACCAATTCCGGAGATCCCCAGACTCAATACTCGCCGTGTAACTCTTCACTGTTTCTTGTGAGAGTGATGAGCAAGAGAAGGACATGGGTTTGCCTCTTTCTCTTCGTCTACACGCTCCTCCTCTCAATTTCATGGAATTTCCTCAATTCTGTTCTGTCTTGGTACGAATCCGCCATGGCTGCCACCTCTTCCTCCTCCGCCTCCTCGGGGTGGCCGGCGCTGTACGCGTCCGTCCTCTTAGGCGTCGCTTTCGGGGTTCTGTCCATGGTGGCGGCGCTGGCCGTGGTGGTGCCGGCCACCCTGGTCACGTGGATTACCATTCTGGTTTTGCTGGCTTTTTGTGGGAAGCCGAGGAGAGCTCTGGTTATGGAGGGGAAGCAGCTGACCGCCGACATCACCCGGTTTGTGGTCAAGGTCCTGGTTAAGGAAGGCAACATCGTCGCCGCCCTATGCGCCGTCGTTGGCTACTTTGCGCTTGTCCGGCGGAGCAGAGACGTCGGCGGCGCTGATTATTAACTACCGACAGTGACCCAAATCTGAGGGAGGGATCAATGAGAGAATTTTCGAAGTTTTTCCGGGGCAGTTTGGGGATTTCTCAATTTGGTCCCAGCGATCTGTAGCTTCTACGAAATTGCAGCTTCGTTCGGAAGAAAAGCATCACGTTTTCCTAGAATATTTATGTAGTTTTTCTTCATCCCACTTGTTTAGAGTTGTAGACAGCTAACTTGTAGTATTTCTCATCTCACGTTATACATTTCTGCTTGTAATAATTCTTGGATCCTTTTGTGCCTATATATTTATTATTTGTTCATTGTTTCATTCTTTGGAAATGTTCTTTCTATTTAGTATTTACTCCGCATTTCATAATGAAAATTTTCAATATGATTGAGATTTATACAGCAAAACTAGCCTAGCTTGTACTGTACAATCATACTACCATGCTTTCGTAAATTGAAAATGGCAAACAAAAATCACACAAGAAGAAAGTTTGACACTCTTAAATCATAATTTAATCATTAAATATTAAAAATAATACAGAGTATATTCATAACATCACACTTATCATCAATGATGTTATTATGTTATACTCCGTGTATTCTTGTACGGAGTATTATTTATCAAAATAAATTCTAATTACATTATTTAATCATAGTAGGCCTGGACTCGGGTCGGGTGGCCCGACCCGGAACCGGCCCGTACCGGCACTGTTCCGGCCCGGCCGGTGGCCCGGTCAGTGACCAGTCCGGGTAGGCCCGATCCGTGGGGGTTCCGGTCCGGGCTCGGGCCTCCCAAATCATGAACCGGCCTGGCCGGTTCAGGCCCGGTTCCGGGCCTTTTTAATTTTCTTTTTTTCAATTGTTTTTAGTTTTCGGGTTGGGCTAAGTAATTTGGGCCGTTTGGGGTGGTTTGGGGGTGGGGTGGGGGGGGGATTAACTAGGAAAATGAAAAAAAATAACAAAGGCCCGAGGCCCGGCCCAACCCGGGCCCTCCATTCCAGAACCGCCGGCCCGGGCCTGAACCGGCCCGAGTCCACCCCTAAATCATAGTAGTATGTACTACTACGGAGAACTCATATAATCTATTAACATTGTGGACCTTGGGAAAAGCTTTTCAACGTAATACATACGTAGTACTATCTAGTACGTAGTATGTTTTAATTTTATTTATTAAATTAGTAAATTAGTTTAAAGATATAAAATATAAATGTGTTGAGGTTTATTTCTTAACCCCAGAGACCCAACACTTTCATTTGGATTTCGAGTGAAATATATTAGTGGATTGAATATGTTAAGAGGCACAAGCAATACATGGATGAGAGAATAAAGTGTCTAGTAAATGGGCTGAATCTAGGGATGTCAAAAAAAACCCGACCCGCAATGACCCACCCTGGCCCGAGACATTTGGGGCGGGTCCGCCCCGTCTTGCAAATGGGGCAGGTATGTCCCGCCCCGCCTATACAATAGGGCGGGTCCGGGTATTAGAATTGACCTGTGCCGCCCCGACCCGACCCGCTCAATATATAAGTGTACATACTTTTTCTTAAATTACACTCCAAATATACTTCAACATACATATGTGTGTATACAATAAATCATAAATGTTTTGATCTTATAATATATTAATATATATTAGAATGAGATGAACGACGGATTATCAATGTCTTCTTTATATAAGACATTTCAATACATATATTCAATGATTAATATAATTAAATAGATTAATTATTCAAGTATGAGTAATTTTTCTTAATTTTTGAAATTTTTAGCGTATCGTGAATTTGATTTAATATATTAATTTATAATTATTATTTAGAGATAAATTTTATGTAGATTCAATTGGTAACAATTTCCCACAAATAAAAATGCATACTAGCTAATTAGGTTACGGCGAGGCTGGGCGGACCCGCCCCGCATGGGGCGGGTCATGGGTCAACAAGTTTGGACCCGTGCAGGTCACGGGGCGGGGCGGACCCGCCCCGCCAAGTCACGGGGTGGGTCTAGGTCTTGCAGTACCCACCCCGCCCCGACCCGTTGCCATGTCTAGTTGAATCTTATAACTCGATAAAAAGGGTCTATTACAGCACACTACTATTAGCACGCTGGGCCGATCGTCTAATCTGAGAATGAATGAGGGGGAATAACTGCTATAGCTAGTGAATACAAGTTGTCAACCCCCAACGATGAACTAAATGCTACTCCATCTGTCCCATTTAAATCTTTACACTTTCCTTTTTGGGACGTCCCATTTACTCCTTTACGTTTTCTTTTTAGTCAACTCCCCTTACATTAAGTGTCTTAACTATAATTCACTACACATCCACTTTTTGCATTTGAGTGGATAACATTAATTTCCCCCAAAAGTCAAAGGGCATGTAAGGCATTTGTTCTTTTATTAATTGGGCTCCTAAAATACCGTGCCAAAAGCAAACGTCAAGTTCTATCCGGGACGGAGGGAATACTATTTATACTACCAATGGATAGGTGATAGTGGTGATGTGGAGGATAGTGAGTGGTTAGCCTCCCAACCACGTCACCAAATCTATTGGATTAAATGTGTTTCCCGTCAGTATCTTGCTTTCCTGCCAAACGTTCCAGAAGAGCATCCTCCTGATTATCCTGATTTGGGCTAGAGTAAGCTCAAAGTCGAGTTTGCTGCTAGGTCGAGTGTCTTCATGGGTAGGGCGAGCATCGGGTAGGTCCCCTTGTCGGGCCGCTCCCGAATTGGGCCTTGATGGTTTTCTTCCAAGGAATAATGGGCCGCTCCTCCGTCGGGCCTATTAACCAACAAAATGAAATGATTAGATACATAAGCTAGAACTCCATAAAAAGTAGTAAGGTGGTGAAATAATGATAATACAAAAAAGTTTTTGACAGTTAGAAAAGAATTGTTATGATTATATGGTGAATATATAGATTGAGTTTATATCGGGTAAAAGTTGTGTAATAATACATTCATAAAGTGCTATTAAGGATATTAATTTGATTTTGCATTGCATATTTGTATATTAGCTACAAGTGCTTGTGTGTGATTTTCTAGTGAAACATTACAACATAATAATCATTCAGCCAACTTAGCTGACCAAAAATACAAGAGTCCAACTTTGTCCACAAAATCTTCAAAATATAGTGTATAAAAAATACATATTATGGGAGTACAAGCTACAAAATTACAAGCACGCTTCACTTTCATTATACCAAATACTCCTTATGCTTAGAATAATAATCATGTACACGTTCTTACTCATCTCATTGTTCGTCCAAAAGGTTAGAATCCTCGATCAAGGGTCCTCTAGGCCCTAACCCAATAGACCGACAAAGATATTAATGTTGTTAGTTATAGACTTATAATGATTCAGCTAGTCCAGATAGACCTTGTACTTGTGTGAATTACAAGTTCATGCTGACATATATGAACTATAACATCCACATAATCGCTGTAAGTTGCAGTTATTGATTATTACTGTGATGACTACCTATAAAGCATTATCTGGTGCACAAAATAAACGTTTTATTTAAAGATATAAATTTTCTATGTAGAGGTAATATGAGGATTACCTCCGTCGGGACTTTATTAGGTAACATCACACTTTAGTATGAATCCATTGTAGTTCGCTTATTAGGTAACATTTTACTATAACATTATTATATTTGGATTTTACAATATTTTCCATTCATTGTACAGGTGAAATACTAATATTAAAAAACAATCAATGCTTTCTTGGATGAGAGGTATTGCAAGTTTGCAACTCCTATCTCTTTGTCCTTTCACTTTTTAAAGCTTTATATCCCGACTTATCATAAACAACACGGTTAACTACATTATACTACTTCATCCGTTTTGTTGGACTTTGTCAATTTTCTCTTTTAGAGGACTGTATTGTATTAGGAATTAGTGACACAATTTTAAAAGTCCGTGGTTTTTAAAAGTCTAGGTGTATTCAATGTGGACTTTTAAACGTCTACATAGGTGTATTCAATATAGACTTTTAAAAGTCTATAAAAGTCTAGGCATATTATTCAAATTTCCGTTCATTCTTATGAACTTCTAAAATCACGGATTCTCGTGGACTTTTAAGTCATTTTTAATATAATAATTCTCTGCAATTGTCTCTTCTTTTCACCAAAGATTTCTGTGGACTTTTGTAGTCGTATTCTACTCATCACAAGTACGCTTAGATCTGATTGCAGATTTAGCTAATTATTTAGCCGGAATCACAAACAGGCCAACAAAACCTAGACTAGTACCGGCCGGGACGGAAGGTGGGTACCATGATGGTATCGGTATGCAAGATTTGAACATTAGAATTTTTAATTTGATTTGTTTTCTATCATTTTACGATAAATAAAGTTGAACAAGGAGTTTCTACATTAATAGTGATACACAAGATAAACTTATCTTTTCGATTTAAAATAAATAAATAAAAAGTGATGTTTTATATGTCGTCTTACGAAGAAAAATGTAGGGGTGAGATCGGTTCAACCCTTGAACCGTTAATCCCGTATCGAGATTGTTGAGCACTCTCGAAACTTTGAGTTGCTTTTTACAAAAATAAATTTGGGTTCTTGTGCTTCATTTATTCTTGTAGAACTCTATGTTGCTGGATGAATTATATTTGTTTCAATTATTTATTTAATTGTTTTTTATCACATTACACATAAGAAATTACTCATGGTAGGACTAAAAAATACGTAGTATTATTTTACCAAAGTATGATCATATGTTTGATTTTTTTTAAATAGGACTAAATATTACATTTCTACCCCTAATATAATTAATTAATATAATTTCCCATATTTCCCTTAGACAACCAAATTCATTTTGTTGGTGGCAAATTCCAGTGATGGAGGTGGACAGGCAAATCGGTAGCGTCGATCTAGGTGAAATTCTGACGGCCGACAATGGCAGTCCAGATTTAAAAGTCTATGGACTTTTTAAAAGTCTATAAACTTATCCATGGATTTAAAAGTCAATAGAATTCATTCATAAAAAGTCTATGGATTTAAAAGTCTATAGACTCTTTTATAAGTCTAGGGATTAAAAAAAAGTTCACCACAATCCATATTCAATACACCCCCTTAAGTTGTCTAAAAATACTTTGACTTTCTAATTAAAGCAACTAATCTATGGTTCTCATTTCTATCTCACCTGCACAAATATCAACCACGGTAATATATTTTAGCATGTAGGTTGTTGTATAGGCAAAATAATTATAGGTGCCTATTATTTACTCTATTCGTCCTATCCAATTTTGTCTGCTTTTTTTGTTTGTTCAAAAATATTTTTCACTCTATTTTTAAATTAAATGATTTGTAATTCTATTACTATTTTTCTCGAGTTTTTCCCCAAAATAATGCAAT